TATTGTGCACAGCGTACCAAGGGCACGAAACTGGAAAAGACGTCCCGACTACGATGAATGTTGGGACATCACGGAATATTTGAAAGTCATACTTTCGTTCAACCATTTGCGGACCATTTGATCAATGGACAAATAATTCTATCTCATATTCTGGAATGACGACGTCAACCATTCATTGTCGATCCAACTTTCCACATAGAACTGACTATTATATACTCCCTATGTAATACTGTCTTTTGCATATGACTCAAAAGGGCAGCCTCCAGTTGTGTTTCGGTGGGGGTATATCCGACGGTAGGCGGGTGGGTGTATCCGACGCGAGGGAGAGCCGTAGCAAGAAAAAGACAGCGTGCAAAAGCGCGCGCCTGGCGCGCTGATCACACTGAATGACTGTTGTAGCCACACGCATTTGGTGCAATGCATAATCATCTTCTGGTATCATTTAATTAACTGCATGATGGAAAGCTTGCAGAGAGGCTACGCAAGCAAGCATGGCGTACCCCAATCAATGTACGCAATATTGTTGATGAGTTGACGTTTTCCCACAAAGCCTTGTCCGACTAGCGGCGCGATTTTTATAGTTGACAGTTTCGTGCGTGCGTAGATTCGCCCTGGTGCAAGAGATTCAAGCATTTTTCACGGTGCTGCAACTCGCCTCACCCCTAGAGTCTCGAGCTTGCGACAGGGGCGTTGTGATCAAGCAAGTGGCCCGCTCCAGTGGGCCAAGACCGGCGAAACATTAGTCAAAGGGCGATCGCAGACTCTGATGCACCGAAAAAACATATTTCTTTGAGCGTGCAACAATCGTTGAAAGTCTTGCGTCTCAGGGCGCAGACATAGTTCTAGTTAAGTCTACAAGTACTCCGGCCGCGGGGGCCTAACGGCCCACGGAAGTTTTGGGGCCCGCAGCCTCAGACGGAAGTATCTTCGGTCGTATGCCGCATGCCAAGGGATGATCGCGAGACCCATGCGGAGGCATCGACGTCGACGTCGGGAGACATGATCATTTATTTCATTTAGGGGTGAAGGCGTCGGAAAGGTGGCAGGAGCCATTGATCAAGAATATGAAACAGCAATGGTATCCATTAGTACAATTAGAGTCCAAACAGAAGACGGAAGACTAAGGCCACAGTTGCGGGGAAAAGAACACGACGTGGCGTAAAAAAAGTCGGGGAATCGGACAATAATGAAATCCTTGGTGAGACACACAAACTGCGAAAAGGTCACCCAAACTGCGAAAAGGTCACCAACTTGAAGGGCAGTAAACGTGAAAATGCCCGAAGAGAATCAAGTCAGTAGACGTTTGAGTGTAAAAAGCAGGAAATTCCCTGGAAGTTCAACGTTCAGCGGTTGACACGAACATCTTCTGAAGGACAGCAAAATATGGAGGAACTCAAACGTGAAAATGCCGGAGAGTTAGTAACAAGCTTTCATGAAATACAAATCAAGAAATCTCCATGATCTGCTACAGTACGGCAAGAACAAAAGACAACAGAAGGAAGGAGCCCTGAATGAAGCACACTTCCGTAGCGCAGGCGAACGTGAATCAGCCGCAGTAGGGCACCTGAAATCGGCGGCTTGAATGTCGACTGTCGAGGAGCACACACACCCAGCCAGTTCCAGGAAATGGCGCAAAAAATTCCTTCTAGCAGAAGGGCGTAGGGTGACACATCGCATCTGTAGGAGAGTGATTGACTCTCGCGTCATACTGGTGCGCGTCCAGCAATAACGTAAACATGCTCAGCCGTCAGACATGAGGATTTTGTTTTGGTGTCAGCTGTACCCAATCGGCAAAAAGTTGCACTGAACGCTCGAGACATTCGTAGTGAGTGAAGAAAGTCTTCGTTGAAAACGACGTTGGTTGTTGGGGATTGGTAAAAGGGGTCATTTTTTCGTGAAAGACAAAGCTAATGACCCCCACGGCCTCAGACATACGTATTTTGTGTCGTACGCCACATGCCAAGGGATGATGGCAATAGCAGCAGTTCATCCATACCCACCCACGTCCTCAGACAAACTAATTTCTTTGTGTCGTATGGTGCATGCCATGGGATGGTGGTAGGAGCCATTCATCGTTCATATTCTGGCGGGGGGGTGGTTGGAGCGGCGGGTGGAGTCGGTGTTTTTAGGGCGGCAGCAGTGGAGGGGAAGTTGGGGTCAAGACAGGTTAGTTGGGGTGGTGGTTGTTTGTGAAGGGGAAAATAGGTGCACATTCGGTGCAAATCTACGAAGGAATGAAGGAACAAACGAACGAACACCGTTTTCAACCAACGAAAATGACGTCACTGCTTCCTGCTGCTGTTGTTGGCTACGGCTGCAAAAATCTACAGCAGCAGCAGTGTTCAATAATAATCCATAACAAACGTCGTTCTTAACCATCGAATACGTGTACAGTACACACATACGCACTGGAACTTCGGGCTTCGATCTCACTGGGTCTAATCGGAGACTTTTGTGTGTGAACATTGAAGCTTGCACAGACCCGATGATGGCACAGAGTCCTGGTGGCTTGGGCATCCCTCTGTTGTCCATAGGCTATAGGAAGCTCAGGATTTGAGTTCGCAACACGCGAAAAATATGCCACCGTGCTGCGTCCAGCTGTCTCTTTTGCCTCATTTGCCGCACACATCAGATTGGTGTTCACCGAGTCCAACTGAATGAGTAAGACAACGGCTGGCTGTGAGCTATACATCTCGTGTGGTCATCGTTCGAGGTTGCGAGGTTGATCGTCCACAGAGATTTATGCTTGTACATGGTCGCCCCGGTGGTCAATGGGTAACCGCGTAGCCTGCTAAGGGCCAGGTCATGGGTTCGAGTCCCGGCAGAGTGAGTTTTTTTCTCACCAAATAAATCCTGGTCGAGGATGAAAGCGACGCGCTGCAAAGCTCGTTGTTAGTAAACCATAATCGACTTCGTAAGTCGCGAGGGAAGGGATTGCTGTACCCTTCTCGCGATAAAAATACCTCAGGCAGGAACCGCAGGGGGGGGGTCCACCCAATCCCTCCTATGTGACCCCGGTTGGGTCATCTAGCTAGTAGAAGTAGAGGATAGGGGCCAGAGGGGCAGACGACAGAGTCCAATGATGGGAGCAAAAAAAAAAATAAATATATAGCTTACCCATCTTGTTTCGTGGGATTGTAGGTGAAGCAGTGTTCTTAACAACAAACGACAAAAGTTTTGCACAGCCCCACCCACCGTGACCAAACCTTGCCGAGAAATTACGGGAGGGGTCTGTCCAATAGTTGTTCGCATAAGGGGATTTTTGTAGAGGAGTGGCCAAAATCGGGTACACCCGGCCCCAATCCGGCCATTATCGGGTACACTTGTTTTAAACAGTCGGCAGCGCCCTCCTGGCGTCATCTGATTCGCCGACGCCCGCCCCTACCCGGCCCTGACCCTATTCCCACCGGGTGCACCCGATCTTGGCTACTCACCTCCCGGAGGGGTACCCGATCTTACTCTAGCCTACCCGAAAATGGCTGGGCTATTCGACCAACAGACCAGCAGCAGACCACGCTCACGAACACACGTCACCAACACCCCGCACTCGAGTTCCGACGCTTCCGACGGCGGGCGGAGGCAGACCTAACACGGCTAAGGCGGCGGAACTCTCGTTTGAAGTGGATCTCTTCCTGCAAGACTCCTCCTGTAACCCACCGCCGACAGCGGAACTCTCTCTCGGTTCTCGTTTCGTATCGGAGAGGGAGGAGAGAGAGGGCCAGGCGGGCGGCGGTGGATGAATACCTCTCAATACCTCACGTGATCACTTGAGCTGCACACAAATACATGACGCAGCTCAGATATATCCACGGAAGCATCAGGCACCGAAGCATCAGGGTGTCGCTTTCGTCTGGAATACATGAAAATACACATCAAGACCGGAGATGTATGGCACGTTGTTGTGTACGCAGAGGGTCGTTCGTACACAGCAATGCAGCAGCAGCAAGCAGTGGATGCCGTGGTTATGTCTCGATCAAGACCGGAGATATATGACACATTGTTGTGTAGGAAGAGGATCGTACAGTAATGCAGCAACAGCAAGCAGTGGATGCCGTGAGACCTCAGTTTAAACAGCGATAATACTTCCTTGACTTCGACCTCTCGTGAGTACGTGCGACAGATAAGGAACTGCGGGCTTGCCACAGGAGATGGGGAAAGATAGAGAGAGTGGTGGTACCCGCAGAATGCACGCTGTCCTAAGATGGCTGGTGGTAAAGTAGAACGCGCCTTGCGCGAGGACCGCGGTGTTCTCTACTTCATCGCTCATATTCTGCCGGTGCCAGTAGACCGTTCAGGCACGAGTGCCGAGATTAACCACAAGAGACTTAGTGGGTCAAGAGCGCGATCTACTTGCAGGAGTGAGATCTACTTCAAACGAGAGTTCCGCCGCCTTAGCCGCGTTAGGTCCGCCTCCGCCCGCCGTCGGAAGCGTCGGAACTCGAGTGCGGGGTGTTGGTGACGTGTGTTCGTGAGCGTGGTCTGCTGGTGGTCTGTTGGTCGAATAGCCCAGCCATTTTCGGGTAGGCTAGAGTAAGATCGGGTACCCCTCCGGGAGGTGAGTAGCCAAGATCGGGTGCACCCGGTGGGAATAGGGTCAGGGCCGGGTAGGGGCGGGCGTCGGCGAATCAGATGACGCCAGGAGGGCGCTGCCGACTGTTTAAAACAAGTGTACCCGATAATGGCCGGATTGNAGGGTGAGTAGCCAAGATCGCGTGCACCCGGTGGGAATAGGGTCAGGGCCGGGTAGGGGCGGGCGTCGGCGAAGCAGATGGCGCCAGGAGGGCGCTGCCGACTGTTTAAAACAAGTGTACCCGATAATGGCCGGATTGGGGCCGGGTGTACCCGATTTTGGCCACTCCTCTTTTTTTGAACATTCCTTCCTCCTGAAGTGCTTGCCTTTGTTTTTTTTCGCTCATTTGTGAACATGAATCACCAAAAGGTACATATATCTCAACATCCTACGCGTATTTGCTTGACCATTGTCATTGTTACCAAATCAGGTGTTCAACAACGGGTCGGTGTCGAACGTGGCCGTCACGAACGAGGAACCATTATGGAGACCGATGGTTGCCTACGAGCATGATAGTGTTTGGTTGCGCTCCAACTCTCCAACAGACCAAACGGTGGGAGATGACATGTTTACGTTTAAAGTATTTGATTCTCACTGGAACTTTTCGGTTCCAGCGGCGATTAACATCACGGTTCTGAGTGGGGTATCGGCCATTAGCCAAAGTGAAATTTGGTGGTGCTTTGAGGACGTAAACTGTGAAGTAGCGCTGTTCGGCTCCACGAAAAGTGATAATGCCGGAAATATGTCGATTACAATTTCTGGTGTTCCCGTCTACGGCAACTTGTTTGATGCAGGCATAAATATGCCTGTCGAAGTGGGATCGACACTATCGAGTCCAGTAAAGTATCCGTACGACGAAGGAGCAAGTGTGGTGTATCAACCCCAGATGGACTTCTTCACAGATCCCACTACTCAATGGAATGGCACACAACTCCTCGAGCGAGATGATGTTATAGTAACATTCTACGCCTCAATAGAACTAGGTGGTACCAGGATTTTCTCCCCTGAGGTTTCCCAAGAGCTCAAGGTCAGAAACGTGGACGATCAGAGCGCTATACGCTGCGGAGACAGTATTCTTCAAACTCTAGCTACCGGTGTTGTTGACGATGATGCCATCTTGGACGATGTTCGTCCTGATCGGCTCTTCATCTATAACTTTTCCATCACCGAGAAAGACGATGGCGTTGATCCTGTTCGTGTTTCTGTCACAGCAGAGTACGGATATTTGACGTTGAACGATACTTTGAGATCAAGAGTCAGCTTCGTGAATCCATGCAGTGGGACGCACAACTGGAGATGTCGTAGCGATGGGGTGTATTCGCAAAACATGATTTTCATTGGTGCTCCTGAGGATGTACAACATGTTTTGAACGGCATGCTTTTCGTATCATATGAAAGCAACGTGGTGGATAACATGACTGTAACCATTCATGATGGGTTTGAAGGCGATTGCATTTGGGAGTTCGCCACCTACTCTGTGCGGCCGACTTGCCATTCGTCGAGCTGCTCCATTACGATTAACGTGACGGAAACATGGCTTAACGATGACACGGGGCCGGCGCTCATTTCTGTAACAATTACGGAATTTTTTGTATTGTTTGCGTTGATTTCCGCTTTGGGTGGGTTGGTCGTGTCGAAGTGCTTGAAATCTCTCAAGTTTTGCCTTTGCTTTTGCTGCGGACGTAGAAAGCACCGACGTAGTAAAGGGGGCGAAAGTAATAAGATGGAGGTTGCAGCTACTGCTCCTACGCCAAACCACATGTCAACAGTGCTCAACAATGCGCATCGTACGCCAGCAAACATTCCAGCTGGGCGGACGACAAAAGGGGCTGCCTCAAGGCAGGTCGACACACAAGCTCGTGCCTCAAGGCAGGTCGGCACTTCCCCACAAGCTCGGGGGTGTCCTCTGTTGGGATCGGGATGGCTTCGACGCGACCAGAGGGGTGCTGGTCGGGAGATAACTACTGCGCAGGGTGCTCCAAGAGGTATTGAACGGTCAGGCGATATACCCTGGGAAGATGATGGTTGATGACGTGAGGTACACAGGGTAAAAAGAGCAAGCGTGTTCCTGAGGTGTTGACTTTATAGAATTTATCGCAGCTACGCTGACAATCAAACAGAGGTTGGTTGAAAAGAGGTGGAAAGTCTGTTCCAGTGCACCGCAGCATGAACGAGGGATTGAACATCCGCAGCACACTATTAGGTTAACCTTTACGGGAAGGCAGACGGCGTTTGTGTTTGGTTTAGGCTCGGCTCTTTTGGTCAACTATTTGTTGTTGTCCACTTTGAGCACACTTGTAGGCCCCTGAAACCAGGCATTCCCCAGATACCCCCCCCGTGCTTTCGGGGGGCTAAGCGATTAAGAAATGAAGGCGACATGATGCCTGTTCTGGACCGAAGTCGTACGTATTCGCTCAACAGATTCCCTAGACTCGACCTCCTCGTGGACCAAACAACCAAACAAGCCCCCGTAGAGCCCTAGAGAGAGGTAACGAGGAGAATGTCATGTTCGAGAGACACGAAAGTCTCCAAGATGTAACAACAGGGGAGTACTTTCGATAGGGCGGGGTAATGAGCCGCGGGGTATCGGCTAAATACCTCGCATTAGTCTTACCTGCGATGCTGGTGATGGTGCATGGATGACACACAGCAAGGTGAATCGTTTGTGGTGCAGCTACGTGCACCAGACAGAGGGACGGGTGTGGCAGGGTCGACGTTGGTTGTCTGTGCGGCCCGATATTGCACTTTGATGCGGTAGTTTCTTTTCCGTTTCTAATATGCACACACCCAGAAAGAACCAAAATATGAAGTCTTACCGCTGTGCGGAGGCAAACATGCACATCTGTAAGAGGCACGCATGTGGCATTTACCTGGCGGCGAGCGTATCACAGATCACACGGCCGAGGAGCACGAGCTGCAGCAGCGCAGACAGACATGGGATCGTGACAGATAGATGCGTGACAGATAGATGCCCGCCACATTCGCCTCGATCGAGCCTCCTACTATCGCGCCAAGTGAAAGCAAGCAATTGCATACATCACGGGACATTGCACCCCGGTGGTCTAGTGGGTAGCCTCGCAGCCTGCTAAGGGCCAGGTCATGGGTTCTAGTCCCGACAGAGTGAGTATTTTCTCGCTAATTAAATCCTGGTCTCCGTTGGAGGCGACGCGCTGCAAAGCTCGTTGTTACTAAACTTGATCGACCTCAAAAGTCGCGAGGGAAGGGATTGCTGTACTCTTCTCGCGATAAAAATATCTCAAGCACGAACCGCAAGAGGGGGTCCAACCCCCTCCTCCTATGTGACCCCGGTTGGGTCGTCTAGCTGGTAGAAGTGAAGGATAGGGGCTAGAGGGGCAGACGACAGAGTCCATTGATGGGAGAAAAAAAAAACACAACAAAAACACATGCACCAGAAACATAAGCCGTTGATGGCCATGACTTTGATGCGAGAGACCCACAGTAGGAGCAACAGCACCAGGCAGGGAACGGCTTTTGGAAAGTAGCGCGGCGCAAGTACGCAGCAACCTGGCTGAACCGATCCCGGGTGTCCATCCTGATAGCGCACAGCAGTACACCCTCGCGCCCTCGACGGTTTCTCTCGATAGTAGGTGCGATCGTCGGACGGTCCAGTTGATCGGTCTGCTGTTTATGTAAAAGTCGGTTCGGCCCCACTCAACATTAATACAATGAACACCGCGGCCAGGTTACGCATGGCGCATGACTACCACGGCGCACAGGTAGTATAGGCTCGGCCCCTCCTTGTTTTCAAAGGTGGTCTCGGATGAGCATCCCAGCGGTGATGCGTCTTTTTGCAGTGTTGTTGCGTCGCTGTTTCTGTTTCTTCTTCTGGTTTGACTCGTGCGCGCGCGCGATCTCCGCTTTTATTGTGCATGCATTTTCGCGGAGAACCCAGGGGTTGGGGAACAAAATCTACGAATTTAGGGAACAAACGCTTGTGTAGCACGGCCATCTGCTATCGGAGCACGACCAAACCAGTATGACGAAGAGCGCGCCATTTTTTGTTCTTCCTGAGGAACGAACATATCGTCAATCGGTGCCCTATGGGTGTCGTTCTGGTCCCAAAGGCGCGTTATTTCGGCTTCCCCGTAATCAAGTTTTGGGGCCCCTGTATCGCGTGATGCAACTTTGGCCGATAAATGGATCATTTTTGTCCCTCCTGGGGACGAAGGGAAAAAATGTCGCGCTTCGCGCTCCGCGGCTTTTATCATCTCTAGACTGTACGATCCGAGCCGCCACCAGAGCCCCATGTACATAACATAGACTCCGATAGGCTTGATGACTGGGCTCTGACTACAAGACAAAACTGGACAGTGCGAGTGTTGCACGTAAACTCGCCATGAATGGTACGCTCGCCTGAGCACTAGCATTCCACCCTTGCAGGCTGATGAACAAAAACTTTCGCAATATCAGACCCAAAAAATATCCTAGAGGAACGCCCAAGACAACGCAAGTGTGTAAGATGGTCCCACGTATTCTGCGCCGGTTTAGAGGCCTTTCGGCGTATACACCTGACGAATCAGCCGGGGTCACGCAAGAGGAAGGTCAGGCCTTAATGTGCTATTTTTTGTCGTTGCCCTGCCCCATCTATCCCCTTAGTTTTTACCGCGAGAAGGGCTCAGCCATCCCTCATTGAATATAAATTCAACCCAGATTGTTTTCAATTCAACCCACAGGTTGCTGGAAATACATCCGGGGAAAAAGCGAAAGAATCCTCTCGAGAGAATCGAATCCACAATCTGCCGCGAGGGAAGCGTTCGTGCAGATTGAATGTCCAAAACTTCTAGATCTCTCGCGAAAGTCCCTCTTCTAGACAGATATCTCACAACATAATATTCGACATCTCGCATCGCAAAAATATCTCTCCATCAGACACGCGGCTGCCAGGAATATTCGACTTTGCGTTAAGCATGGTCGAATATGTCGACAAAAAACAGCATTGATATAGCCTACGGTAGTGACTAAATACCCCGGCAAAACACGCATGACAAGAAAACGACCAAAATAGCAGCAATCGACAGAGTACCCTGACAATCTCACGTGAGGCAAGCTAATTGGTCAGCCTCAATGTCCATGGATACGTATGGAGCATGCCGCTGTATTCTTACTTGCAAGTATTTAGTACGAGGGTGACGGCAACGATAGACGGAGCGACGGCGGCGCGATCGACGAAGAACGCGGCCCAAGGCCGCCCGACGGACCGACCGACCGACGACCGACGCAACCCTACCCAATCTTACCCAACCCAACTCCTAACCCTCAATCCAACTCGCTAAACCCCAACCCCCAACCCCTCCAAACTGACACGGTCGGGGGGAGATGAAAACCCTACACCAGAGTATCAGGAAAACCGACGCCCAAAACTGAACCCAACTGAACGACTGAAACATGCCCTCCTGAAGAAAAACACATACTCCAACCCGAAGTAACACTCCGCCACAACGGTTATCATTGGTTACTGTACCGAGGCAACATGCAGACAGAGGTGACGCCTAGGAGTCGACCGAGCGACAATGAAGAACTACGTACAAAAGGGCTCCCGATCAACCGACTGACCGACCGAACGACCGACCCAATCCAAGCCACCCAACCCAACCCAACAAACCCAACCCCAACAAGATCGACCGATCGTCACACCAATAACCCTATCCAACACAAACCAACCGGACTTGACCAACCCGACCTTGTGTATACGATGGTTAAGAACGACGTCTGTTATGAATACCTTTTGAATATTTGGACAGGGCTCTGCTAGGGGCCCAGATATGGAAGTTGGAGATGTTAATGGCACCCCCTTGTTGTCCCATCAGGGGGGCCTCTATTGACGTCTGATGATAATAATACTCTCTGTTTGCCATCACCAAAGAGGTGAATCGACCAGCCCCCAGAAGCCACGGGGGGAAGATACTGGTCCTGGGCCCTGCCTGACTTCAGGCGTGTCCACAAACACTTCTGCTGGCGTAGATTTCTGCAGCCGTAATCAACAGCAGCAGCAGCAGCTCAATGGTGCATTGTGTCGATGCTTGCACTGATTTCGAGAGTACCAGTGGGTGACAGGCTACAAAGGCGGATTCCCTCATGAGGGCGTTGCTCTTGATCCCGAGTCCCCCTTCACGTGTGGGCAGGTGGATCTGTGCCCTAGTCCACCTCGATCTTCGTCAGGTCTGCGCGTTCTTCCGCTGCAGTCGGTATTCCCACATTGTAGGACCATCTTGGCGAGGACGATCTTGGTCATTGCACCTAGTACTACTCAAAGAAGGTGGACAGCGGTGTTTGTGAATGATAGACACCCATACACGGCGATATCATGCCAGACTAATGTCAGATCAGTTTATTAGTCAGCGCAAATGTTCAACCTCCCACGCAAAACACCCCAATCAGCAGCGAAAGGCACGTGAAGCAACAAATGACAACAACACGCAAGTGATGGACAACCACACAAGACTATTCAGGCGAACCGCCCGCAATAGAAAACTTCCGCAGTGGAACGACGACGAACACACCGCAAACAGCGTGCAGTGAAAAGATTTGCCACACGCAGGGAAGAATAAAGAAACTGCAAAGCTCGAGGCAACGCTGAAAACCGTTACAATGCGCTTCCACGGTTGAGTTGAAAAACTCGAAACACAAACATACACGGTGCATGATCGTCGAACAAGCCGACGCCACAGAATTCAAAACGTACGCAACTCGCGACAAGGGCCACCAACGCGATTTCAAAAGATGGACACCACGCAATGCAATCAATCAAATACAGCAATGGGAATAGTGAAGGCATCTTCAACGCGATCGACAGTGGTTGACCTACGACATGCAAGATTCAGACATGCCATAACCAAATCATTGCGCGACATGCTGAGAGAGTAGTACCCATGAAGCAGTCAGCGAAGAAATGCTATCAACACTGTACTCTCGTAACAGATCCAAGCTCCTGTAAAACTTGGCCGCACTGAGCTGAGTCATCCTTGCCCCGGGTTCGGCATGACACCAGGCACCTTCTCAACTTGCTTGTTTGCCGCGCGAAAGTCACTCACCAGCCGATTTCCCCCTTTCTTCGGCGTCGCCATCGCGGTGCTGGCCCACACGGCCTGCATGTTGAGGAACACCAAGCCCAGCGCGACGAGCGACAGCATGCACTCCACCAGCCACGCGGTCTTGATCGGGTTGTAGTCCGCGCTCGAGCTTTAACCGCCCGCGCTCATGGCTTGAGGGTGACCCGCAGAGGCTCGACGTTCGCGGGAGTCGCCCTGTTGCAAACGACGGCGGAACGCATTCCAGCTCCGTAGGCGGTCCACATGCGGCTCCTCCAATCCAGCTACAACGGCGGAAGAGACAGTGCTGTTTGTTCAACGATGCAGACCGCGCCGATGCCTCCTCCTCAAGGCTCATGTCTATGTCTGGGCCTCGCTCCACCAAACGCTCAACCGCTGGAGCCGGCTCGACTTGCTCCGGGCCTTCGCGCTGCTGCAGGGCATCAACGGCAAGCGTAACTCGGTGGCATTCTTCGTACGCCGCGGTCTTAACACCCATGACGCTAGCGCGCGAACGCGCACACGCCCCCAAGCTCTC